GTTACATTTCCGACGCGTGCTTGTGGTGTTCGGCCAATCACAATGCACTGGGTCAGCTGGCCAATCAGAGCATACTGCGCTTGTCAAAGGAGGGGGCTTTGTTGAAAACTACGTGTTTGAGCGAGGCGGGGCATAGAGGCCCTACAAAAATGTACAGTATTTGAAAAATAATGTGTTTTTTGAACATTAAAGCATGTCAACATATTCTGTTACACCAAATAATGATCTTTAAAATAGCATCATATGACCCCTTTAAGGCCAAAAGACCGTAGGGTGTCCTAATTGTCAATTTATGACTCAACAGGCATCCTCTTTTGTGGCCATGATACACCCTCTATGCACCCTGTTGTCCACATTAGGTACACCATTTCGAATGCCATCCATGACTCCCTACATAATAAAAATGATTCAGATATCGCACGACCTTACGATATGCATATCGCGATATTTACATTTGCAGATATATCGTGCAGCCCTAGTTGAGACCTTAATAATCCATTTAATGCCATTTAATATATTTAAACTTTTCATGCCTAATGTTTTAAAAGAGAATTTTAAATCCTTGAAGGATTTACAGACACAGTGTTAAAGGGATAGTTCACCCAAAAATGAAAAATTCTGTCATTAATTACTCATCCTCATGTCGTTCCAAACCCATCAGACCTTCGTTCATCTTCGGAACACAAATTAAGGGTGTATTCACACCTGTCTTGTTTGGTTCGATTGAATCGAACTCAAGTCCGTTTCCCCCTTTGGTGCGGATCTTTTGGGCAGGTGTGAATACAGCAATCGCACTTGGGTGTGGACCAAACAACTGTACCGAGACCCAGCTGAAGACGTGGTCTCGGTCCGCTTCCAAAAGAACTCTGGTATGGTTGAATGGATAAACCAATGAATGGATGACCTTAAGCACACGTGTGGTTTTGTTTACAGTTTTTGGTTCACTTGGAAAAAGGGCAGTCACTTTCGCTTGGCGTGGTTTGTTTTTTTTAATTGTAACATAAACGTCCGGACCAAATCAAGTAAACTAGCAGACTTTTCTGGTGTGAATACACCCTAAGGCTGATTACTAGAAGGTCAACTTCAACAACTTGAATCCTGTTTCCGCCAACTTGTTCTGAAAGTGAATGACTTTGGGTTGCTACAATTTGCTGTCAGTGTGAATGTCCCTTCGGTCCCTCTATAGATATGTTTTTTTTGGGAATGTAGTAGTACCTACCGGTGGTAGCATGACCTGTCCTGTGACCTCTGGAACTTTCATATTGACGCTGTCCTCCCCTGGTCCCTCCTGCTCTGTCATGCTGGGATATGGAGGTGGAGGGTAAGGTGGGTACTCCTCAACATAAGGCTCTGGAGCTGATGGGCCATAGACTTCCTGTTTTTCCTTCAGTGGTGAATTCTTCGGTACAGTGCTAGAAATGGTGCTGTCATCCAGGATAGGCGATCGAGGTGGAAGAGGTGGAGGCATCAGCTCCTCCTCCTCTTTCTCACACTCAGGTATTGTAGTATCACAGTGTCCCTCTGGGGGTCTAGTGCTCTCATCAGCTACCGGCCTGCATCCATCCTCGCCTTCTGTCTGAAAGAAGGTAGCTGGGGTTATAGTGGTCTCCATGGCTGCCAACGTGGTCTTTTGGTAGAGTAGCTTCTGGATGTTGGGTCCACCAGGCCCTTCAGATTCTGTTATAGAGCCACGCTTTTTAAGAGGCCTGGGAGCATGGTGCAGTCTCTTCCTCAGGGCCTCCAAATCAGCATCGCTCTGGAGCCGATGGGAATTGGAGAGGAATGGGAGAAGTTTGGTTGGGCTGAGGGGCCGGGGAACACGTTCTACCTCCTGGCCATCAACAGAGGAGGATGCAGGGGCCATATTGTTGCCCTGGTCCACTTGGTCACCATCTAGAACTCCAGTTTGCTCAAGATAACTGCTGTCCTGCATAAGAAACTGCAGGCCTCCATTGGATGGGATGACAGGTTTGCCATATACTGTGAGAGGGAAGGAGTGAGGATAAAACATCCATAAAATCTATAAAATAAGTTGGGTGTCAATTGCCATTTATTTTATGCAACCAATAAAATAAGAACATAAGGCACATTACATCTTCATTTGACTTTTTTTGTGTGTGTCTGAGCCACAAAGTGTACTTTTGCAGAAAGAGCAATTTGCCTATGTGCTCTGAGTTTTAAAGATATGCAAACCAAAGCTGGGACCAATGACTTCAAAGTTATGTAACAAAGGAATGAGCCTTTCCTTATGTATTTGTGATAAGTGAGCATCACTATGAGCCCTACTCACTCTGGAGGGTAGAGCACTACTTATATTGCCATATGTACAATTTTGGTAAACACTATGAACTCACATATGGCACAGACATTTTATCTTGAAATATTACTTTGAAAATAAATGTGTATAGCTGTTAAGATTATGGCAAATAAAACTTTCATGCCAAATATGGTTTCCTTTATGTCTTTAATATAAACTGATTCCAACTTGTACTCTCTCTC